TTCAAATGATATAACTATATATATATATATATATATATTATATGAATGGTATATAATAAGTCTATTATTATATAACATTAATATAATATTATATAACATTATATTATTATATAACATATATAAGTCTATTATTATATAACATTAAAATTTTTATTTATTTTTTATTATTATTTATATATTTACAGAGACTTAAAACCACCAAATCTATTGTTGGTAATGGGTGGACAAACTCTTAAAATTTGTGATTTTGGTACTGCTTGTGATTTAAATACTTATATGACTAACAACAAAGGTTCTGCTGCTTGGATGGCTCCAGAAGTATTTGAGGGTTCCAGATATACAGAAAAATGTGATGTATTTAGTTGGGGTGTTATTTTGTGGGAAATATTATCAAGGAAAAAACCATTTGATGAAATTGGTGGTTCAGCTTATAGAATAATGTGGGCAGTACATATAGGACAAAGACCTCCTTTAATTGAAGATTGTCCAAAACCTCTTGAGGATCTTATGACTAGGTATTTATTAATATTTTATTATTTATTTATGCTATTATAGTTAATAATGTTCAAGTAATTTAAGAATATCAAGTAATCTAAGAAATTAAAATTAATAATTTTTTTTTTATTTTATTAAACCATATTATTCTTTTTAATCATGATATATATTGCTAATTGATATATGTATGATATAAATATTTTTGACTAATAAAAAATAAATTTTAAAGATATATGCTTTTAAAAAATATATCAAATTTATTGGAGCTTGTAATTAATTGAATATTAACACATAAATTTAATTTTTTGCACTAAATTTTTCTAGAATGTTATATTTATTTGTTTAATTTGTTATTAAATATATTTATAAAACAATAAAGTACATGTTATGAAATGTTAAAATACATATATATGTTATAAATTAATAGATTTTTAATTTTAAATTTAATTTTCTATAATCTATGTTTATTCTAATTTATTTAATATATATTTAAATATATATTTAAAATTATTTATTAAAAAGTTGAATATTTATATTTTTATAAATATTATATATATTTTATATATATATATATTTTTAAAATTAAGAAATGTTCATTTTATCTGATTAATATTTAGTAATTATATTTGTAGAAAAAAAGAAATTTCTTTTCTGGCACAAAAATATTTAATATATTTTCATATACTTAATATTTAGAATTATAATATTTAGAATAAGTTTTATATTTATTTAATATTGCTTATATTTTATTTATATATAATATTTTTCTATATGCTATGCAATAGCAAATTTTCATGAAATATTGTAAAATTTAGAAATGAATATATTTCCTTAGTATAAATATTCTATACAAATATTCTTTACTGAAAAATTAATATTATTTAATAATTAATTTTTTAATAATTTTTTTATACATTCACAATATAAATTATGAAAGATTATTACTTTACAGGTTGAAATTTAATATGGTAGTTATATATATAGTGTCTTCAAATATACATTTTGGCTATTCCTTCTCGTTAATAGTATTAGAAAAGTATTTATTTGAAAGTGTTTAAGTGTGATAATTTGTGTAATGCTTGTTAGTCTTCTTCAATAATCAATGGTTTTGATAGGAGTATAATATTCATATTAATTAAAATTGATTGTTCATCAATTAAAAATTATTTATTTCATAAATCATCTGTTAAATTTTATAAATTGAATAAATAAATTTATGTTTAACTATTTAATATTAAAAAAATAGGAAATATGAATAGTTTAATTCATAAATATCTGATCTAATATTAATAGTGGTTGATTATTCATCCAAATTTCATCTAACATTTATTATATCTAAGATTAATTTATTATATCTAAGATTAAAGAAAATAAATTATAATAATCAGTTAAAATTTAATTAAGGTATAAAGAAGAAATATAGGATTGTTAGAGGTTATGAGTTTCATGTTGATTGTTTGCAATGTTGTTATTTTTTTAGAATAGGAGGAATATTAAAGATGATTGATTAGTGGTTGATCGTTTGGTGTTAGGATAACTTTAACAGTTTCATAATTCTTCATTCTGAGATTGTTCTATACTTCTAATTAGGGTTTTTCTAAATTTCTTCTTATGAATTTTAGGTTTTGACCTAGGTGAAGATTGGGGCACATAGTTCATCATAAAATTTTCTTTAAAGAAATTAAAAAATCTTTTAGCAACTATGGATTCTCCTTTGGGACAACAATCCACTCTTTCATCCTCTTCGATGGTTAGGCACTGGGAGCAAATTTTAGTGGTAAGTGAAATTGTCTTCAATGATATTTGTCCATTAAGGTTTCCATTGTACCAAGTGGCAAGATTACTTTCCCTTTCGTTTTTCACTTGATCATTCAATATAGAAAGAATGATTTGTTTCTCAAATTATTGTTGATGGCAGTTGCAGGAAGATTTTCTTGCAAGAAATTGCTCCCAGTTATTTTCATCATAAATTTTTTGATAGTAGATTGTGGAAGGGAAAGTGTTGAATTTAGGAAAGAAGGTAGGAAAATTGAAAATATTTGAATTTATATTAGCTATAAAATATTGACTTATTCAATAATTATAAAAAAAAAATTATAATTGTTACATTTGATTTTAATAACAATAAAATAGAAAATATATAAAAGAAGATTATATATATAGAAAGAATTTTTAATATTTTAAATATTATTAATTTTTAATATTTTAAATATTTTGAACATTAATCATAATCAAAATGAATTCTAAAATTTTTTTCATATTTAAAAAAATAAAATTTTTTCAAATTTATTATTATTATGTATTTTTTCAAAATAATCAATTTCAAATCAGTATCAAATAACATATTTAGAGAATAAAAAATTTTTTTTTATTTATTTTTTATTATTCTGCTAAATTATTTTATATATTATTTATTATATTTATAATTTATTTATTATTATATTTATAATATATATTATAATTTATATTATATATTATATATGTGATTTTCAACAGGTTTTTCTGTCTTAAGTATCTTTTTTCAATTATCTTTTATTTTAAACAATTATTTATGTTTTATTTTTACGTAATAAAAAGAATTGAATTGTTTTAGATGTTGGCATAAATCTCCTGAAGAAAGACCATCAATGGACGAAGTTGTAAAAATAATGACGACTTTATCGCAATTTTTTAATGAACATTTGGAACCTGTGGAATATTCTCGAAGTTCGTATAAAAGTACTAAATATAAATGTTACATAATTATTATAAAAAAGTGATTTTAAATTCAAAATACAAGCAATTAATAATATATAAAAAATTTTAAATGAAATATTTATATATTCATATGTTATAGATATTGAATCAGAGAAAGTTAATGAAAATCATGTTTCTAAAGATGATACTTTAGATGTAACTGATAGTATGGATTCTGAAATAAATGGATATGCTGCCAATGGTACTATTAAAATTAATGTACCTGTTTCCAAAGAAAATTCAGAAATTTTAAATGGAAGAAATAGTTCATCGAATTCTTTCTGCAATTTCAAGGATTCATCTCCTAAAAATAATATTTCATCAAGTATTGTATCCAACAAAAAATTCCAAATCAAAGATTTTCCACAACTTTATGTTGAATGCGATCCGGTCAGTTTTTTAAAATATAATAATTGTTTGATAAATTTGTTTGATATATTATTCTTTTTTATATAAAAAAAAAATATTTTATTATATATTTAACAATTTTTGATAATATTTTAATTTAATTATAGAATACTTGGGAATTGCCAAATTCGGACCCTTCATTGGAATCTTCTATTCTGAAAATAAAGAATACTACTCAAAGTAAGTTTATTATTTTTATAATATATTTAAATTATAAACTCTATTATAATTAATTTTGTTTTTTTTTATGAAAAAAGAATTGTGAAAGAATTGTTTTATAAATATATTATATGAATGCACGTGCGAAAATAAAGTACGTATTTATAAGTAGATATTATTTATATTAATTAAGATTAGGAAGATAAAACGAAATTTTTTTTTTTTACTTTTACAAATATTTATATTTTTATTTTATTTTATTAATTAATTTCTTTTTTCTTATCGTATGCATATAACAAAATAATTGAAATGCTATTTGTTGACGATCTCGTCGTTATTCTATAACTGCAGAGGGATACTCGCTTGGGCGAGAGCTTTGAATTGTGACTCATCATGATAGTTCTCTAATCCCAAAATAACGTTCTTCCTATGTTCCATAAAATCTTCCTTTTAATGTGGAATGTGATGTGCTTAGAAAGAGTCATTATCGCTGTTTGACAGTCCTTATTAATTAATTAATATTTATATATATATTTTAAATTATTCAATTCATGTAAAGTATATTTTTATTCATGTTAAATTTTTAATTAAATGAATATAAATAATGAATGAATATAAAATATAATTTGAATGTATGAGATTAATTAAAGTTATTAAATATTAAACATTAAATATTAGATACTAGATATATGTAAACATATATATAAACATATTTTTAATTTAGAACAATAACAAAAATTACAATTAAATATATATATATATTTAATATTATATGTGTATTAAAAATATATATATGTATATATATATATTTATCGTGAATTATATATATAATTATATATATATAAATACATATATGTATATATATTTAAGCGTAACTTTGTTATCGTTTTAAATATATATATATATACACATATATATATATTATATATATATATACACATATATATATATTATATATATATATACATATATATATATATATTATGTTTTCTAATAGATTATTGTTAAAATTGCTAAAAGATTATTTATACTTTTTTGTACTACTATTTATAATGTGTACATATGTTATAACACATTTTTGTTTTATTTAAGAGATTATTTGTACTTGTATTTATAATATGTACATGTGTTATAAATATTGCTTTCTCTTAAGGAAAATATAAGAACGAAGTCATAGAAAGAAGTTAAAACGTTGCACCTTGGCACGTTGTGATTTCACTGTGACGAATTCTTTGAGAGTTCGTCGATCGGCGAAATCTACCCTGGCAAAGGGCCCGCGAAAACAGTCACATTGTGCGAGTATACTAAATTTAACAGACGACTAATCAGAGGAACCTGTTCTTGATTGACACCTATCGACGATAAAAGCTGCATCCTATAAAGTTCAAGTAAATAAAAATGCATCATGTTCTTTCTACTATCAGATGATACATATAGTATGTACAAAATTATAAGGTAATAAAAAAAAAAAAAAAAATTATTCAAATACTTCCAAACATGGAATATTTTGAGTAATTGTGAATAATAAGTTAAAAAAAAAATAAATTATAAATTATAAGATAAATTATATATTTTATTTCAACATTTTTATTAAAGAAAGTTATAGCATTTCATTTTTTAGCATTTCTAACTATTTTTCTTCATTGTATTAAATATTATTTATTTTGTTATAGCTTTCAAAACTCAAACATATATGTATCTAAAATAATGTAAGATAGATTGTTGTTTTTCTTAAATGGATATTTCTTTAATTATTTACTGCATATCAACATGAAAATTAGATTTCCCTGAAAATGAATTAAGAGCTAAAGAACTATAACTTCTTGGCTCGTACTTGCACGTTTTGTCTGGTGGGGGATACCTCGAAGCAGGTGTGGTTGACTCACCAGGCCCAATATAGATGCACGTTTGTTTAGTGCTCTCCCGACACACCATCGACCAAGAACGACGATCTTTTCTCTTTTTCTTTTTTTCTTATTTTTATTATTGAAAAAAATTTTTTTTTTAAATTTTATCCTTCTACTTTATTTTTTGCTTTTAAGTGAATTTGATCAATTGCTTTCGGATCAAAAGTGACATTCATGATAATTTTTAATCGAAGAGTGACATCTTTCATGTGAACGATATTTGATTCTATTATGAACGGAGCCTCGACAGGCTCTAGTATTTGGAAATGTGTGAAGAATATCCAAACATTGTCGCCACGGACACCTTAAAGCGGTGCTGGGTTTTGTTACGTTAGTTCTGCTTTTCTTTTTTTTTTTTTTTGCTTTCTTTCTCATTAATAGGAGAATGAGATATCTCAGAACAAGAAAATTTTAAATGAATGAATTTTTATTATTTTACATGATATTTATAATTGAAAAAATAATATTGATTTAATCCCTTCTGATTATTTAGAAAAAATGTGACATGTATAAACAAATAGTGTGTAAAGTACATAAATTATAATTTTATATGTATGCAATTTTATTTTATTTATATATTTAATTATATATTATAATATATTTAGAAATTGATTATGCTTAAATTTGAAGTAATTATTACGTAACCAATATTTTTTATTTAAGATATAATAATATTAAAAAGCGATAAATTAAATAAAATTTAATTCATATTGAATGTATATAAGATATTTGAAATAATATAATAAATATTTAAAGAATTCTAAAAATTATAAAAAAAATCAAAATATTAAAAAATTTTAATATCCAAAATGTGTATTATTTTTGTGTTTATTTTTCAAATTATAAGCAATTTTTTTGTTTATGGAATGAAACAAAATATTGTTCTCTCTTTGTTTCGTTTCGTCTAATGTAAAATTAAATTATTTATAAATTAAAAAATAAACTTAATGAATATTTTTGCAAACCAATTTTTGTTTTAGTTTTAGAATTTTAGAATTATATTGAATTTTCTATTTATATTGTTTGAACAATCTATATTTCAATTAAAACATTCTTAGAATAAATATAACAGTTTTAAAATTAATTTAAAATGAATTTAATTTAAATATATGGATACAAAAAGTTAATAATTTTATTATTATTATCATAAATGAATCAAATAGAAAATTAAATTTATATTTCTCTCTTTCTCTAAAATATTTAATTTCAATTGTTTATTTGTATTATCATTTAATTTATATCAATAAACCATTTTTCAGAGTATTGAAGTTTATTATATTATAAAATTATTTCGTTATAAGATTACAATTATTTTAATTTAATCAAAATTAAATTTTGAGAAATTATTAATTTTTTGTAAATGAATGGTTATTATTATGATTTATTAATCTTGTACGGAAATATTATTCGATTGATTAAAAATAAAATAATTTATTTGTAATAATTTGTAATAAATAATTAATTTAATTGCTTAGGGATTAATTTTCAGTAATAATTTTTTATTAACAGGTAATAGTACTACTGATAAAGATTTAGATAATGTTTACCGACTCTTGGATGCGGATTTGAGACCATTGACACCTGATCAAACTTGCGAAAGATCAAAAGAAATTTTTGAGGAACACAAACAACTTGCACAAGAATATTTGAAAGTTCAAACGGAAATAGCGCTCTTGGGTCAACATAAAAATGAAATGCTTAAAAATTTGACGATAGATAGTTTAAGACAGCAAGAAGAACTTAGAAAACTAGAAGATGAAAAGGTAAGTTAATACAACTAAAGTTTCATTTAATGAAATTTATTTATTTTTTATTTGAACAAAAAAATTGAAAAGAAAAAATAATAATTTTTATAATAAATTTTATAATAATTAATAATTAATAATAGAGAGAAAAGAAAATTATTTTTTAATTCTTAACTACAAACTTCCGTGAAATCTTCATATGCGTAATGAGAAGAAGCATATGATTTTAAATTTGAAATCTTTAAATTTTTGTATATTACATATTTAAATTTTGAATAGAATTTTGAGAATCAAAAAAAAAAATAAAACAACAATAAAAAATTATTTGAATTATTTAAAAATCCATGATAAACAAAAAATTAAGAACTGATATTCTAATTCTTTAAATATTATATCTTAAATAATTTTTTCTAATTTAATTTCTATAGAATTTAAGTTTTTTCTATAGAATTTAAATTTTTCTTTATAATAATTTTTGGAAATTAAATATAATAAATTAATTGTTATTTTCTTTTCAATTATAGGAATCTCTAATAAAGCTATATCGAAATTTGAAACGACAGTTAGAAATCATGAAAAATCAAAGAATGAACAATGTCCTTTTGAGCAATGCTCAAATGGATCCAACAGTTTCTGGAAATAATGGTTGGTTTGTGGTACCTTGTCAAAATCCTTCAAGACACTCTTGAATATTCAAATTGGATAAATGCAAACATCATATTTTTTCCTCATCAAATCACAATTTTCTCATAACATTCTTTTTTTTTATAGCAGATGAAATATAAATAATATTGATTTTTTCATAAATACAAAAAACATGAGAATTCTTTAACTTTGTCTTCTTTAGGCTTTGTATATACGAAAATTTAAAAATTAATTAAGTGACGCAATTTCTTAAGTATAATTATATATAAAAGCATTATTATTTTTTTGCATTTTGAAAACTTTTATTGAGATTTCTATATTTCTATATAATAAATAATATTATATTACATATAATATAATAAATAATATTTTATAAAAATATGATTCAAACTAATAATATATTTATTTTTTCAAATAAATATTACACAGAATTTGATAAAGTAGTTTTATATGTTTTGTTTTCATTGTTCATTAAGATATAAAAATATAAATTTAAAAAAAAAAATATAAAAAAATTTGATAAATTTTAGAAAAGCTTGTGATTTATTTTAGTTTGCTATATGTAATTATTTTATATATAACAAAATTTATGAATCTGGTTTAGCAACAGTTATAAAAAAATATGAAAAATTGTATTAAAAAATATTTTTGTAATTTATATGATTGATAATTATAGAATCAACAATTAGTTAACTGCCTGCGATTTTATTATTATTATATTTATTTATGTAAGAATTAACATTAGTAAGTGATTAAGAATATATCTTTGTCATTTAACTTATATTTGTATACAGAATATCATATTTTTGGAGGGTTGATTCTAGAGAAAACAAACATAATAAATTGGTATATAAAAATGTCAGTTTATTTATTAAATTATTAATAAATAGTTGAAGTTTATGTTAAATGAAACATTAGAAGATAAAATGAAATAATTTTATTTCCATTAAATCACATTCTCATTCTACATTTGCTTCACTTTTTTAATGCAAATAAATTATAATTTAATAAATTTTATATGATGATATATGATTTTATATAATCGACAATTTTCTATAATGTCTGTGTTTGTTTTTATTTTTATAATCAACTTTCTAAATATATCTTACGTTGTAATTTATATATAATATATATTATATATGTTATATATATTTAATTGCTATTATAATTAATTTCTACAATTAGTAAAGTATTTATAAAACATTATTATAAAGAGCATTAAATATTATAGTTAATTAAGCATTCAACATTGTTTATAATGAAATTTTTATTTTAACATTGTTAAGAATTACTTTTTAAAATTGAATTATTATAATCCAAAATCGATTCATTGAAAAATTCGATTTTTGTATTAAAACTTATGTATTTATTTATTAAGTACATATGATATTGTATTTTTATTTCATGTGTTTCATGAATTAGAAGTTTTAACAATAATATCAAAAAATATACTATTATTTAAAATATTAAAACAATCTCTGATTTTTTCTTTTTATTATAATTTTTATATTTATTCTTTAATATTTCATTAATATTTTTTTAAATGTTTAATATTGATATTTAAAGAAAATTTTTTATTATGAAAAATTTAAAAAATTATAATATTTAATTATAATAAAATTTTTAATTAATTAAATATTTTTTTGCAATTTATGATTACAAATATATTTTCTATTTAATTAAGCATGCTATATTCTCTATAATAAAGAACATAATAGAGAATATAAAGATATTCATAATATGCGACTGTACAGAGAGAAAAAAAAAAAGAAAAAAATATTTATTAACAATTATATAATTATAATTGTTTAATGATTTTTAGATTTCAATGGTTTATGTATCAGCAAAATCTTAATTTATACTTATATTAATTATACTTAATTTATACTTAATTTATACTTATTTATACTTAATTTATACTATAATACTTTACTACTTTGAAAACTTACACCTTGTTATGTTAATTTGAAGAAGATATGATTGATTAAAGATAAGAATAAAGATAAATAATTAAACATTGAAAAATTTAAAAAATAGGCGTAAAATTAAAAATTCTTATACTCTTAAAAAGAAAGGATTACATTTATTAATATTTAAAATTACAAAATATATATATGTATATATGTATATTTAATCATTTTGCATACATTTGATTACTATAAATATAACAGAAACAATTCTGTTAAACTTTAAATATGTTTTTTTTTTTAGAAAGTAAATTTTCTTCATAATTTTTTTTTCAATATTAGATTTTCTTCAATATTTTAAGCATATTTTAAGCATATTAACAGAAATATTTCCTAGTATTTAATTTTACGGCGATTTTTATTTATTTCAATACGAATTTCACGAAATTATTTTTATTTATTTTATCAGTTATTTATTTTATCGTGTTTAATTTAATCTCTGCTTGATTATTTTATCTTTATATTTTATTGTGATAAAATTTATAATCTTAAAGATTGAAGACAGAAAATTACAGAGATCGAAAAGAAAAGTGAAGGAAAAATAGATGGATCATAACAAAGACAAGAAGGAATTTCAATAACGCAGAAAAACAGAACGCGTGCAATGCGCACGCATCCATCGTGACCATTGTAAATACATGCATGTATTGAAGGGGTTGTAAAAGGAAGTAAAAGCGGAAGCTCAGTTAGATAGGAAGGGTGCAGTCGTTATAGATGTCTGCTCGATCCTATTCTCTCGCGTCGAATCTTCCCTTTAAGCTTTCCGTTTATTCTGGTTTCTATTTTCAATTTTTCCTCTTTCAACGATCTTTTATGATGGCTTTAAACGCGAACGAAAAGAGTTATATCTTGGATGCGAGGAATAATTACGAAGATGTAAGTAAAATCATAATTCTTATTCTATTACTATTGGTGGATTACTATTGTGCTTTTTGATCCTTTTGAAGAATATGGTGGTATACGTAATAAATTCTGTGACGTACATTATTTCTGTCGTAATATAACAGTATATATATAAAATAATTATGAACGAAGAAGAAGAAGAAAATAGATATAAAGATTATAAAAAACATTAGATTTCGCATTAATTCGGTTTATTTGAAATAGTTCGCGCGAATTTTTGGTTTGTAATTGTTGCTTAGTGAATTTGTACAAGAGTAATCTAAGTTATTTTCATCATTTTAGAAAAAATTAGATTATTAGAAAATTAATTGAAAAAATTATTATAATAATTATCATAGAATCATCATTGTTATCAAAGAATTATCATGTGTGTATGACAATGATTTTAAAAAGAGTAAAGAAAGTTTGAAATTGATGTCTGATTTGTCTTATTAATCGTAAAATTTGTAAAATATATTTAATTTTCAAGCATTGTATTTAAACTTGTATTAATTTAAATTTTTAATTACAATAACGTTAAGTTAAATTTCAATAACATTTTGTAATATTTGTTTTTTAAACATTGGTAAAATTAAGCTAAATATAAGTGAACTATTAATTTTATAAAAATAAAAATGAAAGAAAAAATAAGAATTTTATGAATTTGTTTTTAATAAATAAATTTTTTATATTATAATTATATAAAAAAATAAAAAATAGATGTATTTTTTAATTCGAAAATATTCATATATTATCGTAAAGGAAAAAAATCTATAATTCATCAATATGTATACATATATGCATTTTATTTCGATGTATTTTTTCCATTGTTTGTTTGTGCTATGTTCAAATTATTTTCGTCAATATATGAATTATTATTTCTTATTTTTTAATTATTCTGATAATATTTTTCAAATATTACTCATTCGAAAAAATTAAGAACATTTCATAAAGAACATTTTTATTTATAACATGGATCATGCAACTATTTTAATAAAAATTTTCACATTATAAGTATTTCACATATTTTGTGAAAACAAATAAAAAAAATCAAAAATAAAAGTCGTATTTTAAACAAAACTAAAATATAAAAATAAATATTTTTCTATTACAAAAACATATATGTTTATATTAATATTAAAAGAGTTTTCATTTTCATTGTAATAAATATTAAATATATATTGTGTATGAATAATACTACAATATTAAGTATATCATATCTTTTATTCTAAATAAATATATTAATAATATGATAATATATTATTAAATAAAATTGGTCCTTATTAATTTGATTTCTTTATTTATGAGAATTTTTCTAATAAACATACTGAAATATTTTGTTTAATAAAATATATTTTTATTAAACTTTTATTATATAGATTCTAAAATATTTGTTTCATAAGAACATTTTTTTAAAAGAAGTTCTTAATAATAAAGATTTTTTTAAATAAAAGTTTCACAAATATGAAATATACAATAAATAATAATTAATAATTCGAATAAAATTTTTTTTAAAAAGTAAAAAAAAATTATTTATTTAAATCAATGTTTCAAATTATGATTTTATTTAAATCACATAATGGAAAATATAAGGATAATAGAGAATTATATAGAAAATGTGATATAGAAAATGTGAAACAGATATAAAATTAAAATCAAATTAAATAAAGACATAAGAAAAGATTTGTTTCATTATTTATATTTAAATTGAAATATTTCAAAAAACTGTTTTTTTTTAAAATATATTAAAAATTAAAATTAGTGTATTTGTGTAGTTCCCTAACTTTCTAATTAATTATAATATAATTTAATAAATATATTTAATATTAATTTATTTGTTTAACAACTTTATAATTCTGTAATTGTAAAACGATAAGTTTTTGAATTAATATATAATACACTAATTCAATCTATAGAATTATTGAATGTTTATCGTAAATTTATTTTATTAACAAAAATAAGGACATGTTTATATTATATTTTGAAAATTTATTCGAATTATTTATTCTATATAATATTATATATATATATATATATATATGTATTAAGTAATTATATATTTTTTTTTTACTAATTAAACTATTTGTAGTTTTGTTACAATATTAATAATATTTATTTAAAAACTTAAAAATAAATATAACGAATAAGAAAAAAGTTATATCTTTAAGATACTGTAAAATATTTTTTTAAATAAGAATATTATTTAATATAATCACAGAAAAATGTTACACATTTTCAAATTCTATTGTGATTAATTTGTTATTTAAAAGTTAATTTTTAATATCGATTATAAACAGGGAGGCAGTCTTGGTTCAGAGGAATCTTATGATGATATGAGACAACTTGTTGGGGTAAGAAACATACAAATGATTAATTGAAATTTATGTTTAATTAAGTTTAAAT